TGTTCCAGTTCTCTGGCATCGTAATTCCGGTTCTCTGACGCTGTTCCAGTTCTCTGGCATCGTAATTCCGGTTCTCTGACGCTGTTCCGGTTCTCTGGCATCGTAATTCAGGTTCTCTGACGCCGTTCTGTTTCTCTGGCATCGTAATTCCGGTTCTCTGACGCTGTTCCGGTTCTCTGGGATCGTAATTCCGGTTCTCTGATGCTGTTCCGATTCTCTAGCATCGTAATTCCGGTTCTCTGATGCTGTTCCGGTTCTCTGATGCTGTTCCGGTTCTCCAATGTCATCATTCCGGTTCTCTAATGTTGTTCCTGTTCTCTGCTGTTCTGTCGCAGGAGGATAACGGGATGCCGATCCACTTGAAGGGAGGCAGCGGCGACGCCCTGCTGTACCGGGCCACCATGGCGCTCACCGTTCTGGGTGAGAAAGCGTTTATTTCTCTGACAGGAAGCGGAACGTCTGCGGTTCTGTCTGACCCCCCCCCATCTCTCCCTGCAGGCGTCGGCTTCACTCTCTATGAGCTGGTGAAGGCATCCTTCCCCCAGAAGAGGGACTGAATCCGGTCCGGCTGTTTACTCCCTGCCGACGGAGCGACCCAGTTTGTACAAAGATGTTCCAGAGTGTTCCGGTTCCGTGTTCCCTCCCCTCTCTGTTCTTATTCCATGTTCTTGGAGTGGTAACTTATTCCTTCTACAATAAACAGAATCTTCAGAACCTCTAATGACCCAAACGAACAGAACTCCTGTAACTTCCGAGCCGCATCGGTCCAGAACTTCTACATTAAACATAGAATTAAAACAAGAGTTGTTTGTTGCTTTCCTGTCTTTCACCACTAGGGGTCAGGGTTCACTGTCTGTGTTTTTAGGTCCAGGTTCTGCTGATGAGGCGGGTCCAGAGCCGCTGTTCTGTCAGACCAGCACACCCATAGTCCATACGCTATAACGGTGGAGTCAGCGACGCGTAGCGCAAATATAAGAGAAGAACACACAGGAAGTCTGCTAGGCGTCTTTATTTATGCCTTATATGATAAACAAAAAGTTGTAAGTGAAAGTAAACACACAAACTTATCAGAATAACATGAAGAAAGATGTAATAA